ATCCTTTTCCTCAAACTGCATTCTCTTTTTAAGACTTGTTTAAAAAAAAAAAAGATTATGATCAGGTATTTTAAAAAACATTGGTTTACAGCCATATGTCTATCTTTACAGCCATATGTCTATGAGCTATTAGAAGCTTTATAAATAATAGCTAATAATAGCCAAAATCCTTTTGTGTAAATTTTCTCGCTATACGGGGCACCACTGTAATAGCTAATGGCCAAAATCCTTTTGTGTAAATTTTGCTTACACAAGGGTGATGGTGTAAACAGCAGGAGGAGATTTCAGCCCACTCCCATAGATTATCTTGACTCGCAAATGTCATTGTGTGGAAGCCATGGGACAGACAGAGGAAGTCTTTAATTACTAACAGTCTTCCCTTTCGAGCAATATCATCTCATGGTGGTGATTTTCATTAATTAAAGACTTCCTTTTTCTGTACCATGGCACAGTGAAATACAATACTCCCGAGTCAGTCAAGCTTTGGGAGAGAAGCAAGTGTTGTCCCTTTCCTTCCTCCTGTCTACAGATGGGAGGAAGCCCACTAAGCATCATGAGTTAAATTAGAATAATATGTGATGAGGCAATGGAGTTGGTCCAGATTAGAGATGGGGATGGCGGCAGTGCGGGGATGGGGTGTGGCAGCGGGGCTGGGGGCAGGGCGGGGTTTTCTTTTTAATAAAACCCCCATGAATTGACAAATAACTTCATTATTCATCGCTTCATGGGGCAACTTCATGCTTCATGAGTTGTCAACTTTTGACGACTCACAAAGCAGGATGACTCACCAAAAAGGTGAGTTGTCCCCATCTCTAGTCCAGACTATTCAGTTGACGTTACTTCTCACTTTAATGAGAAGTATAATGAGATGAAAGTAGGGTCATGATTACTATCCCCTGTAGATTTTATCACAACTTACGTTGTGACAACGTTAGTCTGAGTTTCATTCGCTTGTTCAGTCGTTCAGTCGTGTCCGACTCTTTGTGACCCCATGGACCAGAGCACACCAGGCCCTCCTATCCTCAACTGCCTCCCGGAGTTGTGTCAAATTCATGTTGGTTGCTTCGATGACACTGTCCAACCATCTCATCCTCTGTCGTCCCCTTCTCCTCTTGCCTTCACACTTTCCCAACATCAGGGTCTTTTCCAAGGAGTCTTCTCTTCTCATGAGATGGCCAAAGTATTGGAACCTCAGCTTCAGGATCTGTCCTTCCAGGAGGCAGAGCTTGGTCGCAGTGAAGCCAGCAGCTTCTGGGAACAGCTCCCGGGAAAAGCTGAAACCGCCCAGTCTAGGGTCCCTCTAGAAAGGGGGGGACCAAAGGGAAGACCAGAGGAGGTCTCCCTGAAGCAGTTGGTGAGCCCCAGATGGGTAAAAGATTGGGCAGCAACCGGATTTTCTTCCCTCTGAAAATTAACCTGAGCATAGATCGGAGACGGGAGGCCATTTTATGGCAGAAAGCTGTGGGAAACTCCACCCCCAAATTCCCCGAGGAGAAGAGAACAAAAATACGGTGGAAAATACACAATAACAAAGTAAGCCTTGATTTATGAGTAACATTAAGATATAAAAGAAACTAGAGAGAAATATTTGACCGAAAGAAGAGAGAAACAGTGGTGAGTCGTGCTTGCCTGCCTGCCTCTTCAAGGTGAAATTGACTCTAAAATAGCAAGTTCCTAAACAGCAGGCTGGCTCAAGGTCACAGATAAGCAGTGAGATGGAAAAATTTTGTGTTTCTGGAAAAAAAATCCCAGAGGAAATACTACTGAACAGACTTTAAGGGACTGAAATCTTGTGAATGCTGTTTAGTCTGGATTTTTCTCCCTAGTTTGTGTGGGACTTTAAAAATAAAATCTTGTCATCGGAGTAGGAGGAATAAGCTTTTGGGAATAAAAAAAAACAGATGGTGAATCATCAGTGTGATGACATAATCGGCTGGATTGAAGAGCTGGGGTAGCCAGGACTGGAATCGACTGGGACTTTGATAATAGAAGTTTGTTCGGTTTTAGAAGGAGGAATAAATCTTTGGGAGCAAGGGGCAGTGAATCATCAGCAAAAGAAGACCTATGAAAATCAGGACTGGAGTTTTGAAGGATTACAACAATATCTTTTGGAGAGACTGGCTCCCTGCGTTTGCTATTTAGTCTGGACTTTCTCTTGGTTGGACTGTGTGGATTTTGATAATATTGCCATAATATCTGGGCAAGGAAGGGAGGACACACTCAAGGGAGGTATATGATGATGGGTTTCGTTTGTTGGTAAAATACTGGAATCTAAAAAATATTATTTATACAAACCATAGGTATTGGAAAGATGGAAATGACCTCTAAAAACTTTAAATATCAACTGTTGGGAATTTTGCCAGATAAAATCAGTTGTTCCATATCCAGTTCTAACTGTTGCTTCCTGTCCCACATATAGGTTTCTCATGAGATAGATAAGGTGATCAGGCACTCCCATTTCTTTAAGAACTCGCCATAGTTTGCTGTGGTCCACACAGTCAAAAGCTTTTGTATAGTCAATGAAACAGAAGTAGATGTTTTTCTGGAACTCTCTGGCTTTCTCCATAATCCAGCGCATGTTAGCAATTTGGTCTCTAGTCTGCATTTTGTAATGATAGCTCTCAAAATCCACAGCAAGTGAATATACCCTGAAAGCAAGGTATACATTCACTGTGAATTCAGATTTACAAAACAGAGAGCATGTTGGCCTTATTTTGTGAATAGTTTTGAATGAAGATATTGTACTTGGAATCATGATGGAAGTGTAGGAGGCGATTATCACGTTTTTATTTAACAGTAGAACAGTTAATTAGTCCTTCAAAGCTAATTGGGTTTCATAAATTGTTTATTTTTACAAAGCAAATGTCAGAATAAATTTTGAATGGTTATTGATGGGATAGAGAAAAAAAGCTTTACAAAGCCAAATATGTTGGAACATGGGTTAAGGGTTTGCCATTTACTTTCCCAAGCCATTCTGGTGTGCATTCATTATAGCACATATGTGGCAGCCACTGAGAGAAGGGAACCAGCTGGCTGTCAAAAAATTACTGTTGGCACAGTTTTCTTGTCTTGACAAGGCTACAAGCTGCCTTCACAGATGGAGTAATAATAGGCAGCCAGTTGTGGTCAGAGTAAACTCTATCGTGCATTCTGCCTTTGATGGGTATAATCTGGGACTATGCCTAATACTCAGTAGTTTCCATTTTTCTGGCCACCAGTGCTAGTTTTGTTGGGCTAGAATATTTTTTGATGGATTTTACAAGTATTCACATTATTTGATGATGATGATGATGATGATGATGATGATGATGCTTCATTGCTGTTTGTTCTCAAAATGATTTTTCTTTCCTGAATTAGTTCTCAAGATATCCATTGCTAGTCAGGAATCACTCATTTGTGTGGGGTGGTGGCACTGTGTTATGTTGCCTATCATATGACAATGCTGAAAAGTGAAAGAGTCACTTGAGAGTGAGAGCAAGAATGTGTAATCTAAATGAATTAATGAATATTTTAATAAGGACTATTTTAAAAAAGCAATGAAGATATAAATTTCATTGATGTGGTATAGTAAACTGTAAAACAAGACAAAAATATCCTGCCTCAGTTTCTAGACTCATCCACATACTACAAAACAAGGGTGCGAATACACAGAAAGAAACTCATCACAGCTCCTTTCTGCCCACTGAAATGACCTACTTTTTTCATTTTGAGGTACCTTCCAAGACATAAAAGTGGTTGCTGCCAACTTAGGGCTTCTTCCTATAGGAGTGGTGCCAGGAAGAAGTAGGAGGAAAGGGCGGAATTATTGCATGGTTTTAGATGTATGGGTCTGTGGTATGAAACAAACACTTCCTAAATAATGCATGAATTGAATGCAGTCTGTGTTGGGAGTGATGAGATTTTTAGGAAGTATACTTAGTCAGACTGAGACATTCTTCAGTCAGTCAAAGGTCAGATCAAGTCCAATTTGTATCTCATAGGGTTATACAATCCCCTTGACCACTTAGGCACATCCTTTTTGCTGAAACTGGATTCAGCTTTGAGTCTGGGAGCTTGGGTGGGATGCAGCTAAATTAGCACACTAGTTGTTCCCATTCCAGAAGAGATTAGGATCTGGCTATATACTGTGCATCTTGTTAATACTACTATAACACACTCTGTGTTGGGCTGCCTTTGAAAGGTGTTAAGAAACTTTAAACTGGTTCATAATGCTGCAGCCAGGTAATAATGTGATTCTTTTCTTAATAGTGGCTTCACTGGCTACTGAGGTCAATATTTCAGAAAACAGCTTTACATGCTTGGTATGACTTACAGTATACAGCCCCACTCAGTTTGGCTCTAGAAAGAGCACATGGACCAATTTGGATTTTAAGAAGATCTGGTGAGACCTTCTGTCTTACCATGGTCAAAGGCACAACAGGCTGGAACATGCGGGAGGGTCTTCTTGCTAGCTGCTCTCAGATTCTGCAACTCCCTTGCCAAGGGTGACTAAGCTCGTTCCATCTTTTATTGTTCTTTTGGCAGGCAATTCCACCACCATCCCCTAAATTGGGACAAACTTTTGATTTCTGTTCATACCTGTTGCTAAACTAGATTTCACGCTGATAACACTTTTGAGAGAGGGCAGCTGTGTTAGTGTGTTTCAGCAGCTACAAACACAAAACAAAAAGAATAGATTTATTCCAGCAGACTTATTCCATTGTGAGTCTTTGAGCAAGCATTTTGAAGGAGCAGATTATACCTATGAAAGCTCACACTGATACTTTTGTTTATCTTTTGCTTGGCTTTGTCATTGGTAAATTGATATGTGAAGATATTTTTAACTTGATTTTTAATGTGCATTTTAATGTCATAATAATAACTTTTTATATTAACTGTATTTTATTAACTACCTTTAATATTAACTAGTTTTAGTGCTCAAAGTGGGAAGAACGATGTAAATTTAAGAACAATCAACGAAATATTTCTACAATATTACATGTGATTCTCTTTCCTTATAGGAGCGCATGGAGCCTGTTGTATTATATCCAAAACTGGAAAATGAGGGGAATGTGAATATTACAAGTGTTCCTAGACGTAGTGACACTGCTGTGCAGTGTTTTGTATCATATCCCCCTCAGGAAAGATTGAAAGGTGAGTGTTATGCATCCTCCTTTAAATTTTGCTTTATTATTTTCTATGTTATTTCATTAGTGGTGGTGGTGTGTTGTTTTCAGAATCTTACATCAGCTAGGAAGGCAATTAATTAGAGTAAGTGCAGACACTGTAGGACAGGAAAATTTCAGGGAATATGGAAGAGCTGACTCAGAACATGTGAATTAGATTGTTGCCGCAAATTCCTGTTTTAAGTGACAGTTTCTAGCTGGCTGCCCCAAAAGGTAAGATTGGATATAAAACAAATTACAAGTGCCATTTGAGGTTATAGCATTGTTTTAACAGACCTCAAATAATACCATTGTTCCTAAAACACAGCTGTCTGATTCGAATACAGTATCTAATGTGGTTTTTTATTTTATTGTTGAACATCTTTTTAATTCTTCATTTTTAATTGTGTTTTACATATCCTGTTATTTTGATAGAGATAAGTAGGACACCTTAAAATTCTCTTAATTATAGGGAGAATTTTAAATTATTTGGAATGCACACATAAATATACACCCATAAATGCATTATGTATCTTATACGATATTAGAATTTAAGCTACCAGCTTCTTATTACCTAGAAACCCCTATGAGAATCGCCATAATTTGGTATCAGTTTCACTTCATGTAATTGTTATTATATAGGCTACAATTCTTCTTATATTTATGTTAGTACAAAGTCCATTCACCTGCTGTTGGTTAGCATGCATTTATGTGTCCACAAAATTACAGAGCTATAGTTGTATGGAAATTTGAAAAACATTCTGATTTCCTTTTTTCGCCACAAGATAAACAACCTAACAATTAAGTTGCTCAGGTAAAGAGATCTAACAGTGGAGATCAGTCTTATGATTTAAACTGGGGTGGACAAACTGCAGTTCTCCATGTTTTGTTGGACTATAATAACTCCCATCCACCATAGCTAACATATCCAATGGCGAGGGAGTTGCAGTCCAACAAATATTTGTAGAACTACACTTTGCTCATCCTGATTTAGACTTATTTTTCTGAAACAGTGTCAGGTTGCAGGGGAAAAGAATTAAGCATCTCTGCTACAAATTTTGTTCTGGTACCTGCTGTTTGGCCATTTAAGTTTTGAAATCCAGATCTGTAACTGGATATTAAGTTCAGCCCTGCAAATTTTGTTGACGGCATAAGATTCAGCTGTTCAAAGAAGAAAGTCAAAAATTCCATGGAAGTAACACAAGACCCTTGCCTTTAGATTTTAGACAGTGTTGGAATGTAATGCAGTAAAAAAAAATATAATGTTCCAAGGATATATATATATATATACAACAGGTTTTTTAATATTCAATTTTGTAAGGTCTGTCAATGCCAATTAGGGATTCAAGCTTTCTGCCTTCAGTTCACTCTTTCCTGTACTCAGAACTAAAAATACTTCTACTCATTTGTAACTGTTGCATTTGGCTGCACTTTGGGGAGCACAGAAGAAACCAGACCTTGGAGGTGTTATTTTAAAAAGCAACACATATTGTTCTTATGTGTTTCTCACTAGTAGCAGAATAATATATTACTTGCTTGTAATATAATAATTTTAGCGTTGAAGAGCTGGAAGGGACCCTATGAATCACCGAGTCCAGCCTTTGTCAATGAGAATCAGTAGGGTATCAAACCCCCACGTTCTGGTTCCACCTATGAATCATCGAGTCCAGCCTTTGTCAGTGAGAAGCAGTAGGGTATTGAACCCCCACGTTCTGATTCCACAGCCAGATACCTAAACCACAGAGCTATCCATGTTGTTTTTTTAATTGATTTCTGAAGGAGTAGAAATACAAAAAAGTCTGATTCCACAGCCAGATACCTAAACCACAGACCTATCCATGTTGTTTTTTTAAATTGATTTCTGAAAGAGTAGAAATACAAAAAAATGTACTAAATTATCCAAAGCAGTCTACCGCAGCTATTTTGAAGCAATACACCTACCAACACTATTTTGAAGTACAGTGGTGCCTCGCTTAGCGATGTTAATTCATTCCAAAAAAATCGCTGCTAAGCGATGACATCGCTAAGCGAAAATAAAAAGCTCATAGAAACGCATTAAAACACGATTAATGCGTTCCTATGGGCTTAAAACTCACTTTAAGCGAAGATCCTCCATAGCGCCGCCATTTTCAGTGCCTCTAAAGCGAGGAATCCGTGCCTGAAAACAGCGGGTGGCCATTTTGTTTACCCGGCGGCCATTTTGAAACCACTGATCAGCTGGCTGAAAATGGGGCTTTGCGCTGATCACTTCCCTGCGATCATCGCAAAGCGAAAATAGCCCATAGGGAGCATTGCAAAGCGATCATTTTTGTGATCGCAAAAACATCATCGCAAAGCGATTTCGCCGTAAAACGGGGCGATTGCTATGCGAGACACCACTGTAATACGTAAACCATGGTTTATGAGTCTTAAAAATTGCATTATTGATATTGTTGACATTATAACACTTAAAAATAACATAACTAGGCATCTTTGGAAAAATATGTGAGGCGGAATAAGTAACTACATTGTTTTTAATATATTGCTTCTAAGATCTGGAAGAGGTTGTTAAGTCTGGGACTTGTCTTATGATCTATACTGGCAAATTTGTTGTCAAGTAACAAATGCACTTCATTTCTACCATACTAACAGTTTCAGAACTGCTTGACAGAGTGAAGTTGTAGGAGCTTTGGACATGTGATGCTATTTTGGCATAAATGCTCTTCCGCTAGGAGAAATCCTCTACTGCTTGGGGGCATACTGTGGCCAAGCCTCCCTAGATCCACAGAAGTAGCTGTTAATATTCACAAGTCTTTTTTTTCTCTTAAAAGCTTTTCATGGCCTATAGTATTTGTTACTGCCCATCTTCCTCATTCACCAGGGCTTAGATCCAGAGTTGGCCTGTCATGAATGAATGGGCACCAGCAGAGGCTGCTGCTCATAGAAAGGGAGGAATTTTTACCAGGTAACCCTTCTTTCTGTCACCTCTTGTGCCACCTCCCATGCTCTTCTAGAACAAGAAAATCTAGAGCAGATTTTTGGGGTGAATTGACAGCAATTCTTTGTTTTGTCTCCTAGCAGTAGGTCAGCCACTCTCAAACTTAATTTGTCCACAACCATAAACACAATGTGAAATAAATATAGGTCAAATCAAGATTGTATAGGTAGCATAATGAACCTTGTAAGGTGGTGTGTGAAGAATTGTCCCCAGTCTGTGGCCTCCTTCAAATGAGCCAGGGCCCCCAGGGGGCCATATTGTCTCAATTGAGAATGGCTACAGTAAATCGCGGAAGATGTTTGTTTCCCATTTGTATAACAAAAGCAACACCCCTCCACTTCCTGAAGCAGTTTGTTTTCTTTAAGGATTCTAGGAATGGATTTTTATATTAATGCATTATAAATTCAGTCCTGGTGCTAAAAATGAATTCCTTTGAGATGTGGATACTCAGAGGTGGATAGCTCAGTGATTTAGAGCCAGAAGTTGGGAATTTGTTCCTTCACTGTGCCTCCTTGACAGGGGAAGGATCCGATGATCCATAAGGGTCCCTTTCTGCTCTGTCATTCTTACATTGTATGATATATACCCTTCTGTAATTTCACAACCAGAATCTTTTTATTGATTAGGCAGAGGATAACACTCTTGCGGAGTGCACAAGCTCCCGAAAAGGAGAACTACTTACAGAGCGGCCAAATGTATGACTGCAATAGGCAATTCTGGCCTTGTGTCTATATTCAATTCTTTAAAAAAAACCTCTGGTCTATGAATGTGAGCTATTGTGATTCTGCACCATGATTCAGAAACACAGGAAATGGCCCAATATTGCTGCACAATATCATACCCGCGTTGCTAGCAGGAAAAAGTATGTCAAACTTTACATAGCAAAGGGCAGCCTGAATATTGATCATGGCAGCATTCAAGAAGGTCTACAGGGTACCCTCTTGTGCTCACTACCATTCACAAAGTTACACCATGCAAGGAAAAAAAACCAGAAGCTGACTCCTTTTTTTAATTATCAATCAACCACTTCTTACCTAACACAAAGCAATGGTCAGGGCTGTTTTTCAAAATAAACAATACATTCATTACTGTTCTGGAAGAAGAAAAAAACAAGTAAAAATGAGAAAGAATATGAAAGATCATCTTGCCTAGACACCTGCCAATGGAGGAGTTTGCAGAATGACACCAATGCAGTTTCTTCTGTCCTTTACCGTTGTTTGAATCCAACCCATTGATTTTTATTGAGTTTTTTTTTATTGCCAAGAGGGAGCTTAATGCAAAATGGCTTGAATAAAGGAAGTAGGGACTACTCGCAAGGAATATGATAAACTATTGCTGGAAGGAAAGTAGCCTAAACAAAACCTTCGGCATGGGAAATTCTAACTGCTATCTCAATAACTGAAGTAGAAATGGTCTCTAAACCATTGGCAGAGAACAACAGTGGGCACTACTCTCTTGTGTAGTTGAAAGAAGCACAATGAAACACAGGCAGTCTGAGACAATGTTGATACACCCAGGCTTAGTGGGGGCAAGCAGCATACCATTCATGCAATCATATTACTATCCTTTGCTGTGGGAGTAAGTTAAGCATACCTGGAACACTCCAGGAGTGGTTTCCTTTGTGTGATGTTCGAACTTGGCAGATACTGCCACACTAGCATCTTTCTCCCTTAACAGACCTAGGCATCCAGGTTTTGTTACAGGATTGTTTCTGTTTCTGAGTTCAGATAACAGTGGGGAGGTTTGAAACGTTTTGACCATTCTAGAATGATCATATTGAAATGAGTGCATGTCACAAGCTTTCATTTACATATACTTAGTATTATTCTTTCTTTTATAAGGTGCTTTGTGTAACAAATGTTGCTGCCATGGGTTTTTTATTTATTTTTTCACAAATACATTTAACAGTTAAAAGAAATGTATTTTTATTCTGTTGGTTGTATTTTAAGTGGTTGCAGAAGCAGAAAATCAGAATTTGTTATCTTAGTTCCTGTTGTAGCCATTTAATGAAT